TGGTTTGTTTAAAAACTACATTTCATATAGAAATTATTGATACTCCCATTACTCCGTATTATATTTATATCGAAACATGTATTTTTTGTATATATCAAGATGAAATTTTTTGCTTAGGTATCATTGTACCAAGAATAATGGTACGTTACAAGAGTTGTTCTTTCATTATTCTAAGGTCCATATATAAAATGTGTACATTCTCACAATTTTTATTCGCTAACAAGTGAGTATTTCTTTTTTATAAACACTCCAATTTTTTATGATATCAATATAATAGGATTTATAAAATTAACGTAGACCTTTGGATCACGTAAGAGTTTGTCAAGTTGTTAGAAAATTGGTTCTAGCAATTTTAATGTATCGCGATCAATCTTTTCAGTCCTAGTTTTTATGTTACTAGGTGTGAGGGACAAGAATAGAGAGGTAAAGATATAATGGTGGGATTTGGGAGTAGTTGTAACCAAAACCATTGTTTTTAATGCGACTTACTCATCTTCATATCATTCATACCCAATCAAACCATTTTCTGGTGAAGGTCAACTCCGTTTCGTCTCAACCCACCTACCTTCATATTAGGCACTACCTCCTCTCTTTTTTTTTGTATGAATATAAATTAATTACTCCGTATTTTTAATTACGGAGTATTTTTTATAAAACACAAATGCAAGGTTCCATCCGAGTTCAAATCTTACCAACTACACTATTGTTTTGGTGTACCAATATTCTTTTTCTTAATTCTCTCTTTATCTCATACGGAGTAATCCTAGTTTCAAACACTAATGCTAACCTCTAACTGTTTTGACAAATGGGGCCGTTATAGACATTTTAACACCCAAGTTTAATTTTTTTTTTAAAATATAGCCAATATTTTATTCTATTTTAAAAATTTTAGCAATAATATTTAAATAAAACAAATTGAAAACCTTTTAATAATCAAGTATAGTAAAGTTAACTGGTCCACCCCCCCTCCAGGCCCCCAACAAAGACATTGTCACCACTTGCATTTTTGTGTCCTTTTGTTGCCGTGAGAGATGATCTACTTCTATTGTTATTTTATTTTATTATATATATTCCAATTTCCAAGTTTTGGGACGTAGCATTTTGCTAATTATGGGCACCTATTAACATTGTACTGTGTTGTTTAGGAAAAGCTGGGTGTTCACCTTGTCATCTACCATGGCGGTTGCGGCTCAAAATTGCCAAAGGCGTGGCTCGTGGCCTCACCTACATTCACGACAAGAAACATGTCCATGGCAACCTAAAGCCCAGTAACATACTATTGGGCTCCGACATGGAGCCCAAGATCGGAGATTTTGGCCTCGAGAGGCTCGTCCCTGGCGAAAGCGGCTACCGGGCCTACGGATCCGCTAGGAACTTCGGTAGTAAGCGGTCGACTGCTTCGCGGGACAGTTTTCACGATTATGCACCTGGGCCCACCCCTAGCCCAAGCCCGAGCGGAATTGGGATATCGCCTTATCAGGCCCCAGAGTCGCTCCGGAGCCTCAAGCCCAACCCGAAATGGGATGTGTTCTCTTTTGGTGTGATCTTGCTGGAGTTCTTGACTGGTAGAGTGATTGTTTCTGACGAAATGTGTCCTGGCCCAGTCGTGGAAGATGCCAAGTTGGAGGATGACGAGGAGAGAAGTAGGGCATTGAAGATGGCTGACGTGGCTATCCGCGCTGATGTGGAGGGAAGAGAAGAAGCTTTGTTGGCGCTCATTAGGTTAGGGTACAGTTGTATATCTCACACCCCGCAGAAGAGACCGCCCATGAAAGAAGTTCTTCAAGCGCTTGAAAAGTTTCCAATTAGGTCGTCTTTTTCATCGTCCCCGCCATACTATTTTTAACCAATATTCTTGATTAGGATCATTATAATATAAAAGATAGTGTCACAACCCATGACCTTATCCAAATTTAATGTTGAGTTGAGTCCATGTACATAAAAAAATCAAACATGTGAAGTTGGGATATTCCTTTAATGTTGAAATCAATTATTCATTCAATTCAATTAATGTACTTCATTAAAGAGTGATCTTAAATTATGAATTCATTTTGTGGCATCCCTTTGAAGTATGGATGGAGATATATTTGATCTATTATCCTCATTGTGCCAGAGGATAAGCCATTGACTCAATGTGTGTGTTAAATTGTGATGCTATCTATAAAAAAAGTGATGAAATTAGTGATGATAATAACCAACATTTTATGGAACAAAGGTAAATGTGTTCTCTTAACCTTCCTCCGTTAGATATGATAAGTGATTAATTACCGACCTCTTTTAGATGCAAAAAAGTTGTGAAATAAATAGTCATTACATTAATACATTTGTATCTGTGAGAGCAAACTAATAACTTGATATGAAAATGGTTAATTAACATTGATAACAAGGTTAACATGTGAAATGAATGTCAAAGCATAATAAAAACTCATGGCTTGCACATCTGTTTACTTGCTCACTATAGATCAAGTAACTTGCTTTCCTCTTTTCTTCAATATTTTAAAAACATTTTCTTGTAGTTCTTGTATTAACAATGAACATATTCTTGAAAAAATAAAACTGCACTGAGCAATTATAGATAAACAAACTCAAAGTTCTTGAGGAAACAAAATTATATAAATAATGAATAATCATTTAAGAGTGATATTAAAATACCTTCATTTGGCAGAATAGTGATAACGTAACACGAGATATCAAATCCAAATCTTGTTTAGATTTCACGAAACATGAACAAAAACATTTTGATATTAGAAAATATTAGAGTTCATATCTCAAGAGCTCACCAAACACTGATAGATTCCTTAGGCATGTTGACTATTCTAGATCCCATCACACATGTCTCTATCTATGGATGAAAATTGCAGATCACTTACACAAACACAAATGATAATCATCTGTGGATACCGATGATTATCGTCTGTGAATATGTAGAATCATTTGTAATTTAATTGTTATTCGTAAGGACATATGGGATGAGTTTTTAGCATTATTCTACACATTTATATGTAATTTGGATGAGGAAAGTAAATGAGATGATAGAAAAGGTAGGTAATAAGTAAGCATCATTTTAAATAGAAGTAAAACATAAATAAAATACTAATATATGAATTCCATGTTTTTATTCCCTAAATAAGAGTTTGTATCTGTACATATGTTTTTTACTATACTTTTTGACAATGTACATAGATTAGGTCTTATTATTATTGTTGTTGTTGTTGTTGTTGTTGTTATTATTATTATTACTACTATTATTATTGCAACAACTATTATCATCATTATAGAGTATTATCGATATGTGTAATGAGTTTTTATAAGTCATCTACAAATTCTAGAAGATACGTTCATGCAACATCATGTTTATTTATCTATTTAAATTCTAACTCCAAAAGCTTATAAGTATTTTAAGATTAAAATAAATAAGAAACTTTGCTCTTTAAATTACAATATAGACAATTATTTAAAAAAGTAATTATTAGTTTGGGTTAAATATTTTGTAAATATTTGAAAATACTCTTCCCTTTTCTAAATATTTATCTTAAATTTATAAGAAACTCTACCATTTTATAAATATTTGAAAGAACTTCAAAAAAGCACGGGGTTAAAATAAAAAATATAATTTGAAATCTACCATCACAAATAGAAAACAAACATTATTGTATAAATAAAATACTCCGTAAAATTTTAAAAATTAAACTTGATTTTATATGTGTCAAATACAATGCTAATCACGTATACAATAAATTAAAAGTTAATTTAGAAGGCATATGAAATGCCAAATGTATAGTAAGAGGCAAATTAGAAGGCCACACGTGCACTCACTGGTCAGATTCTCAAAACTCCAGCAACGATGTCCTTTTGTTACAATTTTTAAAGGTGTGATATCTCTATTGTTATGAGTTGAAGATCTGATTTTTTTGTTGTAAGGCTCAAAGTTAGGTACCTCCCAAGTAGCAAAAAGACCTCAGCAGCTACGGACAACAGAGTATGCCCAAGAGAGTGAGGATCGGGTTTAAAAAGAGGTTAGGGGCCTAGGGGTGTTAATGGAAACTTCTCAATGTTTTTTTTAACACCAAGGTTCCCAAACTTCTCAATTTTATTTAAACAATGACCTGAGAGCGTTCGGTACCCCGTTCGTCAAATTGACAGTTCCTACCCCCCTAATCCCTCGGGTAAACCCTCCCCCCCTGGAACACACCTCCCACTCTCTTCAATTGCATCTCACAAGTTGGTTTTGACTTTGGAGTCAAAATTTGACTCCAAAGTCAAAATCAACTTGTGGGATGCAATTAAAGGGGGTGGAGGGTGTGTTCAGGTCGAGGGCGGGCAGAGGGTTTACCGGGGGTAGGAACCGTCAATTTTACGAAAAGTCCTTATCTTAAACATAGTAGCATTTTCCTTTATACTCAATGTAATTGTTCAGAATAGAATTAAGCTCTAGGCATGGATGCAAAAACAAAAACAACAAACACAATTTTATTTTTTGAAGGAACAAAAAACAAAATTAACGAAGGTCATTTAAGAACAAAAATCAATTGTCTACAATTAACATTTTAATCATCAATATCTACTCAAAGTAGTTAAAATTCACATAATAGTATACCGCACATTTTAAATATTAATAATCTTAAGTCACTTTTTTTTAGGAACCATAATCTTAATTCACTTAATAACTCAAAGTATATAATGTAATTTATGGTTAAAAAACTTATAACATTGACAAAAAAAGTCAATGAAAACTTGATTTTGGAAAGGACAGGGTATTAATATACAAAACCCAAAGTAAATAAAAATAAAATAAAATCTATTGATCACACACTTTGCATCTAAACACAATGCACAAACTTGGGCATATAACTTCCAGATTTTCAGTTGCAAAACAAAACTTCTCTTCACAGGTTCAGAATTCAAAGGCGACCAATGAAATGGATGAAAACATGAATGAGAAAAATAAAAGAATATATCAAAATAAATAAAGCGAACATGTATGTATGTGTGTATGCATGTATGTATCAACACTGCTATGATGAGATCGAGATGCCATCTCTCATATATACGTACCAAACGGGGATGGTGATGAATGGTAAATAATGATATGTTGAGGACTTGAAAGCATGCGGCTAGCTCTACTCCTCACACTGCAGAGGAATGAATATAAACAGAAGAAGAAGAAGATGATGAAGAAGAAGAATTGTTGGTTATCTCCACAACTCTCCAGTTTTCTGTGTGCTTCTTTAATTACTTGCAGCTACTTATCATTACTCCCCAGAATGTGTTTGGTCATGGTTTCATCGTCATCTCCATTATTATTCCTTGTTAAAGCCGCATGCCTCCTTTTCCTAGAACTGCGTCTCCTGCTGCTTCTAGGTTTTGTTGTCCTTTTCTCTCGGATGCTGCCTGACTTTTCAACAACAGATGGGTGTTCTGGTGGAGCGTCTGGCCATGGGGTCCGCTTTGCTGGCACGGTGATCTCCAATGGAGGGTCAATTATCCATCTGCATATATATAAAGGGTGACTTTATAAGGACAACGCATGCGCAAACTTCTTACAAGAAAGACCATCTTAACAATGCTAATTTTTATGTGGGTATACTCTTTTTCACAAGGATGATATGCTAAAGATGTAGAACGAAATTTCACTTCTTTGCACCAAAAAAAATGATATCATGAGATGGTTGAACTAAAGATTTCAATGTGGACAACTCCAATAGAGGTGACTAAAAGCATGAAAACTAAGAATCTAATTGCATGTTATGCATGTGTTCAGTGTATAAAATGAAAAGCAAGTGAATTTACACTATAAATGTGCATGCCTCTAACTTCAATGAAGGCCTCATCTACTCTCACATTGTAACAAAGCATAAAGAATGTATCCTGGTATTGGTTTGAGCAAAGATCTTATGATACCAAACATGGGTATCATAAAATGACACCGTCCATTTGAGGACCCAATGGTGCTCTGTTGGACCTCGAAGTGGTTCTGACACCCAAAATGGGTGTCAAAATAACAGTGGTGTATTGGCTTAAGAATAGCATATCAATCATTTGAAGGCTTATAACGTTAACAAGCCAATCACCCATCTTAGCCCCTAGCCCTTGCCCTGATCGGTGATCCAAGGGAGGCTAGGGTTTGTGGGGGAAGGGGTTAGGGTGAATAGGGGGTAAGAACTCCTTCGGTAACCAATGGAGCATAGTAGCACCCCGGAGTCATAATGTGACACCCAAAACGGGTGTCAAAATAACAGCAGTGAATTCGTTTAAGAATAGCATATCAATCACTTGAAGGCTTATAACGTTAACAAGCCAATCACCTATCTTAGCCCCTTACGTCACCCCCTCCCATCACAACCACTACGCAACCCCACGCCACCCTCACCCCATCAAGGCATGTTGTTGTAAGCAAAAAATTGAGAGGCACCAATTCAAAATGTAATTATTTCCATCCTACTTTAATAGGACATATTTCTTTTTTTTTTTCAATCCTTATTTTCAACTTGACTACATACAAAGGAAGTGTTTTTTATGAAACATTATTTACAATGTGCGTTATATAAAAAAGTTCTTTTTTAAGAGTACTCCCATAAATGTGCAAAAGTCATTAGGAGGTATATTAAAATGTACAAACATTGGTCAATATTCAACAAACTTTGTCAACAAAAAGTCAAATATGACCTCTTAAATTGCAAGGGAAAGAGTAAAAGATGTCTAGATAGGTATAAGATATTTGCCAACCCGAGTTTGGCAACTTGTGACAAGAAACCTATAGATAATCAGCAATCAGTGCTAGAACTAGGATTATCATGCTACTCACAAAGATTTAATGTTGGACCATTGAAGAACCCAAGTTAAAAGGCAAAAGTTCCTATTGCTAATTGAGATTGCATCCATGACAGAGAGTTCATTATGAGTAATGCTAAGGTCAATAACATCTTGTGCCTAAGAGTTAAGCTAGCTTAATCACTCAAGTAAGGTCTAAGGAGAGTGTGAATCCCTCAAAAGTATGTAACCCATACCCCTACTCAAAAGTTGAGAGGCTGTTTCGAAGAGACCCCGGTTATTTTAATACTCCGTATTAACCAAGTTTTCTTTTCTCATCCGATTTAAATACCAGCCCAAGACCAAAAGTATGTTTCTTGGCAAGTTAATGTTTATTTCTTCTTACCTTCGACCTTCATTCTATATTCATGATTAGTCTTTCCACCCCTTCACTGTCCAAGAAGTGAGCAATTATGCTGACTCAAACTTACATAATTTCAGAGAGTGACAGTGAACGGAATAACAGACCTGGGAGGGAACTTGCTATCAGCCCTTCCTTCAACACGAAGCCACCACACCATAACTTTGCGCCCGCAGCTCCCAAGCGGCTCCACCATGGAAGAATCCTTCAGCAGTGATAACGGACTCTCAATGCCATCTTCATCATCACCATTCTTCACAGTGTCCAAATCCTTAAACCAATCTGGCTTATCTTCTCCCCACAGCAGTCTAGCATTCAACACAAACCCAGCCCATTCAAACGGTCTGGGCAGCACGACTGCCTTATCACCAATATATCGTGCACTGTTTCTGGAAAACGGGGACGAATCGA